ACCCCCTGTGGAAACCACACTGTCGTCTGTGTCTGTGAGTCTGTTTGTTTTGTTTCTTGCTTTCTGTTTTATATCTATCCCGTGTGGGTGAAATCATATGGTTCTTGTTTCATATTGTTTCATATCTTTTATAATAGAAAGAAATGATTTCAAGTCCAGTACAATCTACCCTCATCCCAGCCCCCACCCCCACCCCGACACACACACACACACACACACACACACACACACACGTGCACACGCGCACACGCGCACACACACTGAAGTTGGTGCTTATGTCATGGTTATCCAGATTTCAATACTTTTACCAAGTCAACTATACATATTGTTTTGTGTACTTAAAGTTAACACCCATGGCATCTGATTTGCTTCCGGCTCTCAGCACTATTATTTTCAAGATGCATCCAAGTTCATGTATGTAGGTCCACTCAACCATTTAACAGCTCCTTGGGCGCCCCTCCCGTATAAATATGTCCAATTTACTGATCAATGAACATATCCCTGTGTCTGCCCACGTGCGTACATGTGAAGGGATCTACATGGGCTCACGGCCCCGGGTCCACACTGGATTCACAGGGAGATGGAAAAACTTCTGCTGCCTCGTCTCACCTATGGAGATCCTGATTTAATGCTGGAGGGCAGCCCAGACACGAGGGTTGTGCAAAGCTCCCGGGGTAATTCTAATGTGCAGCCCAGGCTCAGCTCACGCACCCCAGGGCCTCACTACTCAGGTGTGATCCTGGGACCAGCAGCATTGCCATGGCCTGGGAGCTAATTGGAAATGCAGAGTCCCGAGCGCCACCCAGACCTGCTGCATCAGGTTCTGCATTTCCACATGCTCCTCAGGTGACCTACGTGCACGCTAAGCGTGGGGAAGTTCTGGCCCGGGGTGCGTACCTAGATGTGCAATTGCTGGGTCACAGGGCGCGGGCACCGTCAATGTCACCACTATTCTGGATTTCAGCCAACATTCTAACCCTCACACTCTCGATTGGCAATCGGTGCACAGACTCCGAAGACTAAGGCGGAGGCCGGCCCTCCCGCGGAGACAAGAGCATCTAGGAGACCCCCCAGCGCTGACAGCAAGGCGTGCCTGCGCCTCTGCATCCAACACATGGGAACGCTCTGCGAGCGAAGCCCAACGGGAGGCACGCGGTTCGCTCTGCAGCTGGCTGGGGCGCACATGCCCTGTCACTGGGTCAGGATTCTGCTTTCAGGGACAAAAGGTGCACAACTCCAGTCTGCGGACACAGGTCTTTCTTCTACCTCTCCTCCTGGCCGGTCATGATACCTCCCACAGACGCACATGGCATTGTGGCCCCGGGCACCCTCACTCAGGTCCCCCTCGTCCTCGGCTCTGCAGGAGACAGTGACCTCTCAGCCAGAGCCTCCCCCACGCACCATCCTCCCCAAGGCATGTCCTCGGAGCTCCACCACGAGACATTGGCCAAACGTTGCTTCTTTTTGCTTTGTTTTGTTTCGCCTTTAACAACTCAGGAGGACTACGTGTTGGTGTCACTACTGCCTAGAAATCAGTTCATCCCGGGAATGCGTTTTCTCCTCTTAGTGGCAGAACCAGATGGCCTAAGGATGGTGCATAAACTCCTCCTGAAAGTCACTGGGTTCGTGCCACAATGGTGAAAAGACAGTCCAGTCTCTCCACCGTCCCTCCCTTGGTGCGCCGGTGCTGGGTTTCCCTCCCCTCGCCTGGTCGCCAAGGCTCGGTCACTGTCCCATGCGGGACGCCGAGGCTAATTCCTCCGCCTGCAAGGTTCTCGTCTCTAAGCCACTCGCTTCGGCGTTTGGTGGAGCAGCCGTTCTCCTGCGCTGCGGGTGCGAGTGTAAGTGGAGACCACCTTTCCGGGGAACCCTACGGCAACACCTTTCAAACGTCTTCTTAAAGAAATGGGTGCACATTCTCTGACCTAAAAATTCCACTGCTAGAAATTTATCCTAAGGAAATAATAGGGGATGTGGGAAATGGTTTCTTTCCAAGGATGTCCTTTGCGGAGTTGTTTATAATTGCGCAACACTGGAAACACCCTAGATGTCCGACAGAAAGAGAACTGGTTACATTGTGCATTTAGGAGCGCTGCCTGTGATATTCAGAAACTAAAGCCTACGCTGCTAAACATATTTACTGATATGGACAAAAAAGTCCAAAGTAGATTCAGCTAAAAAGTCTGAATACACTATGGCAGGAGCATTATGTTTTGCAAAGAAATAGAAATAAACATCTCCACGGAAAGAATTTTGGAGGAACATGCAGCCAAATGGCAACTATGAACACAACCACAAAGCAGAATTAAATCTGTGTTATCCAGGCAGGACGTGGAAGTCCCGAGAAGTAGCAACTAATGATGCCCGGGGGAAAAGGCTTCTCCTGGGTGTGTGTCTTGAGCCTGCATGAACGAGAAGGGTTTTGACAGAGGCAGGAGAGAAGCCCTTCATGTAGGGCAACAGGCTTGAGCCCAGCTTCATACCCGCAGAGGCGTGAAACACCTGATGCGCGAGGGAGACGTGAGAAAGCGCGCGTGGCTGGAGAGGAGGGTTTACCAGGGGTCCCAGCCACAGACTCATGGGGATGGAGATGAAATTTGGGGTCAGACTGAGGGGAGCCTTGAGTATCTTGCTAAGAAGCCTGGTCTTTATGA